TAAAGACGTTTGATGCGGTATACATAGCACAGACTACTGGAGAACGTTTTGGGGACCGATTCATTGATTTATACAGTTAAGTAAGGGTTTCTGTGTGACTAACTCGCAACATAGTGCTTAATCACATGTATGTACTCCGTAATCAAACATTGTTATAACACAGGCATGATATCCTGAAGAGTTTGTTCGTAGGAATTTGATTTGTGTCAAGTTTGACCAGGGATTGATATCGATTGGAGAACCATTGGAAAGCAGTAGAGAGTACTGGATATCTGTTTTATCGTAGTTTGGGTCTCATCATTGGTATGCATCCGCTGGGGCTCGAAGGACGCAGAACCTTCCGGCTACACGGCCGGCTCGTATATCATTCAGCCCCTGAAGCCCGACTCAATGGCTAACCCATGAATTCAAACTTTCACCGATTCTCGTGACTTTAACACAACCACCCACCAGTGTTATCGGTGAGTATTTAACCTCACTCCTGACCGGATGAACCCTACTGGTGGTCACGACAACTTCATCTTGTAGTCAGTCACTAATTTTCAAATGTCATTTTGCAAGGAGTTTCAAGTTAGGTAGATCACGATGACAACTATGCTGTCGTAATTATTTCACAAGCAACAGAAATGAGTCTTTGCTTGATAATCTCATGTCTTATTTGTTGTTGGTGATTTGATTGATTTGAAGCTGGTTTTCATTGCTAATCGACATTCATCAGCTAAAAATAGTTAGTAACCTCGGCTTGTTTAACCTGAAGGTTGTTCTCTGTTCGACCTTCCAGCTGGGTCAGGGATATGTAGTGCTAAAGAGTCGCAATATATTAGGAAACGTGATTCTCTAACTGATGTCAGCTCGTGATAAAATTTGGAATCAATAAATACCTGAATTGAATATTAGAGGTTTTTGTTGTGAAAATATGGTATGAGCAGTCAACTTTTTTCAGTCAGTGGTTTTCAATGGTTCTCTAATAACTGATATCAATCCGTGATGAAACTTGCTTGATACAGGTATGATAATCACACTTGTGAACGGTCTTCACACATAAACATCAGGGCGTATTTATAAAAAATAGACAACCAAGGGAATGAGAGCACAAATCACACTCCAAAGAGAATTTCAGATCGCTAACTCAACCCTTTTTAGTTAAGCCTTAAACTAACCAGACAGTCTATTTAATACTCTTTCGTTTCTTTCAACACTTATGGTGTGAACAGTGTTAATTGTCCGGTTTCACTGCTCCCTAGCTTAGATTGTGAGCGTTGCAATGTCATTGGTGCGTTTGTACCTGTCGGTTGCCCTATTCTTTAGCTTCTCTGGCACATAGATTCGTGAAATTTTGTCTTTTGGTTAAGATATGCATTCATGTACCAAACGGTTTCACTTCCATGCTAATATTCACAGTCCAGTGGTAAGGAAAGTCACATTATTATAGAGAAAATCGCGGTGACCTTGAGCAACCAATCAGAACTCAGATACGGAAAAGTAGCATAATCCTCAAAAAACGTATTAATAAACATTGCAAACGTGATATTAAACTGGATAATTGTGTTTCTAATATGTCTTGTAAAAATGCATCTCCGTCACTCCAATTATATCTCATAGAAAAATCATAACATGTGCGATAGGCGTATTCATGCAGGTGACTGTAGATCATGGTACTTTGAGACCCATTGACACTGTTCTTCAAACTACCTCTAATCTTAAACTTAATCCTAGTCCCTAAAAACCCTAAACCTAGAACCTGCCTAGCAGTATAGATGTACAGAAAAAAGTACCTAGGGAATGACTAGAATACTGTACACCTACCCTCACGAAATACAAAAAGATAGGCATGATCTGATTTGGAATGATCTTTCGTAACGCTGCCTGAATCTGATTGGTTCTCGAAGGCCAACTTCTGACCTTGACTTTGGCTATGACAGTTTAACTTCATTCATTGTAACTACTAAAATTTTGTTATCACGAGTACTCACATATGATTCGATCGAGCTCTTAGTTTAAAACTTCAGAAACATTTTTGCTATATATATCATAAGGGAAGGCAACTGATAAAAGAAAGTTATAACGATAAACTATATTACTTCTGTAATAAGTATAAAAAATAACTAACTTGACATTTCGTCCTCATTCCAACAACATAAATGTATATATATCGAAAAACCGATGGTCGGTTGCCACTCCAAGTGGTGTACTTCTCATTGGGTTTCTATCGTAGCAATACTGTGTGTGTTGTCTGTTTCACATACCTTTAAACGTTGAGGTTACATGACATATATATATTTATTTATATATAAACTTAGTTCATCATTATTATTTGTCTTTTTAGACTGTCCACCCACGTTGAATTCTACTTGTTTTTTCTAACCAATGAAAATAGAAATTTAGTCTACAGTCTTTTTTTTTTTGGTTGATTCACGCCTTCTAGGTCATACACATGATGATGATAGATTATCGATCGATCGTTGGTTTTTTTTTCGCTGTCGTTGTTCTTGTTGTTGTATAAACTCTAGCTGTGAATGTGAAAATAAAATTCAGCCTATCATATATCGTCTCTTATAACATAACTATATACTGCATCTGGTTATTTTTGGGGTCATACGTTATGATTGGCTTATTGATTATTAACAGGCCATATTTGTTGTATGCTATTCATTGCAGACATTGTATAAAAATGTCTATCCTGTGTGATAAGTTATTCAAGCGTTTCTCGGAACTTATGCCCTAGTGTAGATTTAATTCTTCCTAAGAGGTGGCGGTGGTAAACTGTGGAAAAGTATGGAGGTAGCGTCTATGGTGTTGCGTCTTGGATGTCAAGATCATGAGTATGGAAATACTATGCATAGGAAGTCTGTTCTGTTTACGTCTCTTACTATGTAATTATAAAGGATACTACTTTACCAAACTCCTTTATAATCATTATTCTATTGATTGATTTTCCAATGGGTGAGTGTAATTAATTATTAAATAAAATGGTATTTTTATGGTTTTGATACTTGAAAGGCATTTAATATACGACTATTTATACTCCAGTGGTTTAAGAAATTAGCTTTTCGATATCGATTTGTTAGTCAATAAGCCTTGGTAATAATTGCATAACATAAAGGAATTATTTTTTTTTGTATACAATTCTTGAATAAACATACATGATGAGCTTTCCAATGATTTCTAGAAAGTTACTAGTGTCTTATTAGAAAAGTGCAGGCAGGAAATTGACAGTCGTAAAAAGACGAATGTCTTTTTCTTGTTATAGCATCGCCTTTACAAATGCTTGTAAATATTTCACTTAACGTGTGTTTGAGAGTGGACTTTATTTATTTGGAATTGTGTAACAGGTTTTGAAGGTAAAGTTCTACAATAGTGTCCCAAGGGATTCGAACGCACGAGTGACCTAGAGTCGACCAATGGAGGATTTTTGCACAAAAAATTACGTATATTTACATAAAAAAGCATGAAAAAACATTAGACAGGATATTTTTCTCTAATGTGATTAAAAATATGTCCCAATTATAATGGGGAGTGTCAGGTTTTAAATTAAACCAATTTCTATACATATATTCATCCAGGTGACTGAAAATAACTTGGTTTTGAGAGCCATCTATTGCTCTTGTTCTATTTTTTAATCTTCCCCAGAAACCTATTGAGTTAGTATGACTACCGGTTCTAGGATCGAGGAAATCATCAGAATGGTTAACTCGGTGGTGTATATATCCCAAATCGGATAATCGGTTATATCTTGCCCATTCATCCGTGTGGACAGCAGTGCCAGGCAAAAAGAGTCTCTGAATAATAAGGAGAAGAGTGTCGGCATTCCTGTCTGGAATAAGTTCAATGAATCCTTTCCGAATTTGGGTGTCGTAAATTCCCAATACCCAAACGTTATTAGCTCTAGCAGGTCCCCGATTGTATTTCTTCTTTATCAGCACTGTTTCGTCGATGTGAACAATAACACCGACTCCTCCCAACACTTGTGTAATATTATTCATTTCCCATGAGGCTAAATCTCGACAAAACTGAAACCACTGCACAGTTGACGTCAAGGTATTTTCTGTTTGAGCGGCTGTCGACCTCACTCCGGACTTCAAAACCTAGTAATGGCAAAGAAACAGTATATCTGTCAAAGAAAGTTTCGATTTTTCAAAGGAAGTTCCTAGAATACAATTAACTGAGAGTGTCACTTACCAGTACGAACACTCGTTCGTTTCCTACACTCCGTACATCTAAATATATATCCATCAATGACCTGGGAGTACGGGTGCAGGTTCATTGAAGCACCACAGCTACATATACGACAATGTCCTATCAATTCATTATCCAGACAGTATTTAAACACGTGATCTGGGTGAAATTTGCATCTGAGTAGATGAACACCGTTCATTTTCGTACTAGAATAATCGTTAGTTTCCTCAACCAACGACTAGCATGCGTCCAAGGTCATTTGAGTGTTCGCACTATTGGGACGCTATTTTGTTGAACTTCGCCGGTTTGAATTTGTCGTTTCTTTCATGTTGTGTTAAAGTTAAACCGTAGGAGTCACCCCGATCGACTTTACCACTGACTATGAACAGCTATTCAGAATTAAAGGGCTATAAAGGCTTCAAAACTGTTAAAAGCATAAATGTAGATCATGGTGTCCTAAGGTTTGTGTGTGTATCTGATTGTGTTGTTTAATCTGCTCCATTATCTCTTAATCCACCCAAGAGACCAGTTAACCTATCGAGCTTCCCCTGCCAATACTTTATTAACTCCAATCAATCTATTTTTCATACAGTAATCGAACATCTAACCTTCCTGGAACTCGTTAAACAAATCCAGAACACGGGTGCATACTTCTGTTTGATTATACCATTTGTAACTCTAATTGACTGTCGAAAGATGTATGTCGGAGTAGCTGCTACAGTTTAACTTCACCCTGAAGTGAACACATTTCTTGAATTGTATGTACATTTCTCTACCGATAGAATATATCTTTTTCTTCCCTACCCTTTTTGTTTTGCTTTCAGAGACTAAAAGTTGAAATTCCTTTGAGCACATATGGAAATACACTCATCAATATTGGTACCAATGGGACTAATAGCAATGGTAGTGTTGATACCACCGGTGTTGTTTTGAATACATCCTCTTCCACCTCGTCCTCGGCATCCTCTTCGTTATTTATTCCCAATACAAATCCGAGTAATCTAATTTCAACATCATGTTACACTTCAAACAATCTCAATGATCTATCGTTTTCTTCATCAATCCCCATTCTACCATCTAGTTCTTTTATCACTGTGATTGCATCTAACAATAATACCAATAATTGTTCTAATCATCTCCTACCTGGTGGAACTATTCTACCAACTCATTTTTCTACAACTTCAAGTATACCCATTGATTCATCTCTGATGACAGGCATCTCATCACCATTTCTATCATTTCCATTATCTCAGGGTTTAGCAATACCAACCATATTTTCTAGTACACCAAATATATCAAATGATCTTACAATTACTACTACTAATACTAATACTAATGCTACGACTACTACTGTGACTGCTCCACAATTATTAAATCCACCTATAAAATCGAATGGTCTATCCACGCCTGATTCATCATTCATATCAGATGTAGATTCATGTGCTGGTAGTGGAACGACAGATAAACAAGACGAGAAAGATAATCCTGTCTGTTGTTGTTGTAATGGTTTGGCAACATGTGAAGAAGCTTTTCTCACCTGTAAAGATTGTGGCCTTCATGGTAAGTGAGTCATATTTCTGTTTAACCTTGAAGTGTTGTGTGTCCGTGTATATGTCTGTCTATCTATCTAGGCATTTCCTATCGTTAAATTTATCGTTTAATTCATTATAATAATTTATGTGTTGTTTAAATCTAGTCTCATTGATTAGACTGCCCACTATTTAACGATCGATAAATTCAAATTAAACCTTAATTCGACCAATAGACTAATTAATTTGGCGATTAGACTTAATTAATAATAATAATAATAATAATAATAACCAGTCATACACACATATATATAGAGATATATATATATACAGACAGCATTAGTAGTAGTTAGTTTAAAAATTAATGGAATGTGCAGATTTGAATTCTGAAATTGTCTTTCCATCGGCAGCACAACATCCCAGTGATGATGAACATGAACATCTTGTGAATTTTACAACTAATGTTAACAAAATGCCTCACAGTATTACGTCGTCAACAGGATCAATTGATGAAAATATTGAGGCTAGAAGAGGATATTTTTCAACAACACCATTTCTACCGGATTTGACTCATTCAGAGCATGAGTCACCACGATTATTCTCTAATTATGGCCTTAATTTACCGAGTTTTACAAATGTTCCACATGATGAATTTCTTGGAAAAGAAAAAGGACAACTATTGGATTTGGATACAAGAAGTTTAACACCATCGCCAAATTTTACTAACAAATTTGGTTATCCACGTCTTCAAATGGATTATATACCTCCTTATATGATTGGAAATCAGATACACGCGGGTAATTCAAATCGTGATCTTCATCAAAACATTAAAAGGCCTTGTTTAATGCCGAATGGAGTAGTAGGTCAGTTTCCACTGAGGCATTCAACACCTCTGTCAATTTTGAATTCATCCATAAAAGAACGTATACCATCTTCATCTATTTCTGGCAACCTTTTGAAAATTCCTTCAAGTACACCAGAAAGATTAACAAACCTTCCTGATTGTATATATAGAAACAACGTATTTAACATTCCATTTACTCCTAGTGGCAGTGTGCCGACTGAAAGTATTGTTTCAACGCATCCCAGTACTACTGGTACAAGTATTCTAAAGTCTAACAGTACCTTCTCATCTCCTTCGGTATGTTGTAACAATAGTGATAATCAAGGGATTACAGCTACCTGTACAAACATTAGTAAGTCAGAAAATCAAGATCTTACTTCTGTCCATCTGTCGTCTATAAAAGATGCCACCAACAACAACCAAGTTCCGGAAGAAGGACGTAGTAAAAGCAGTAATAATAATAATAATAATCCGAAACCTGCTATTTTCAAACATGAACCTCGAAAGCGTAAGGCACAATCTAACTGTAGTGCTGCACCGTCGACGTCTACAAGAAATACAAATGAAGAAAGCAGCATTTCATCCGTTCAACCAAATGTTACCAGCTCTAGTACTGTTTCAGAATGTGATACTTGTAAGTAACAAGACACCGGATTATGCAAGTCAAACCACTTCTGCATGCATATCGACCACACCTCCGACAAGTAACTCTTCAGCAGCGACAGTCAATGCCTGTGAACAGATGTCTTACCCACCTGATCACAACTTGATCACTCATGCGGCTGCCTCTCTTTTAAACCGATCGAAACCATTAAGTCGTGCTCCACTTCCTGCCTTAAATCCATCCTCCCGAAGACCAGTTGCTATAACACGTAGACCAATATTACCAAATCCTTTAAGAAAGTATCCTAACACATTACTATTGAATACTAGATTAGGCCTTAAATCTGTTTGCAATACACCTGCTATAGAATCAGTTCATCTAAAGAAATCTGATACTAGATCTGTGCTTGGCAGTAGTAGTAGTAGTAGATCAGTTACACCATATTCACGTCGAGGTACTACTACTACTGGTGCTGCTTCTTGTGGATCAAAGTCGCTAATGAATGAAATGAAGAAAATACAACAACAACTAGTAAAGGCGAATCCGTCAGTGATGCTTCAACCAGCTATTGTTATTTCCAAATTGACAAATCCTACTGGTGTTACGACGACATGTATCGCCTCGAATATAAATAATAGTAATAATAATAATATGTCATCGTCTTCTATACTACAAGTTCTACCTAAGAATCATAATATTTCATTATTTATTCCAGCAAATGCAAAAATTTTAAATACAACTTTTTATTCATCTCCTGAAGAAGATTTTCTTTGGAAGTCGAATTTTTTCGGTAAACAAAATCCACAACAATTAATTTACACATTAGTCTATCTATTTGCTAAATTGTTGTATTTACGTCATAGCCATCAATTGCATCAACTACGTTATGGATTAAATAGTCAGTTGAAATTAATTCTTTTTAAGCCTAACAACACCACCAACGGAATTCAAGTGATTGATACTGATGATCATCAAATTCATTTGAATAGTATACTGAAACAATCTAATTCTTGTATGAAAGATGAAAATTGGAATTCTTGCCTACTCTATAAACCAGATATTCATTATGCCTTGATAAAATCCCCTGTGTCTTTGTCACAGTCATTATCGTCATCGTCTTCATCATCGTTGTTACAGGCCACGTTTGTGTCTGATCAAAAAATCCAGTCATACTTCAACTATTTAGATGAGAATTCTCCACTGGACTGTAGAGTAGAACAGAATACAAGGCTATACAATATGACTAGTTGTTCGAGTAATGATAATAATAATAGTATGTCATCATTAGAGCAGTTTAGTGTTAAACAGTTTGTGACTAATTCTTCAAATGATTATATACTAGGTCATAATACAATGAATAATCATGAGCGTTGTATTGTATGCTATCATGAATTCTATATGTCACGGAGACCAAAGTAAGTTGGAAGTTAGTCAGTTATATAACCGAGAATGTTTGAATTGATTCATTTTGGGTTATTTTCCTCAGTTAATTAGTAAGCTAACTAATCAGTATATAGAGAGATACTTGTACAAGATTGTAGAGCTGTTGTTCATCAGTTTAGGAGAGATTTTAATTTATTAATCCTTTGTGTCGTTAGAACGACTGTGAGACTTGGCTATAAAAGGATATGAGGAGTTTATCTGTCTTTGTTAGCAGGGTACAGTCGGGTCTACTTGGAGGATGCCGATAAAATCGTCCTTCTGGCTGAAGACACTAACAAAATGCAGAGTCTTCTGAACACCTTGAGCGGAAATCTAGTATGATTGGTACGCAATTGATATTATATTGTTGTTCCCTTGGGTTCCGAGTGGAACGTAGGGCTTCAACAGAACATCTCCACTTCGTCCTATTTTCTGTGATCCTCTTTAGGCGGTCCCACGATTGCCGATAGTCTCTTATGTCCTCCTCACACGATCTCCTTTATGTCACCCTCGGAACAATGCGCAACTTGTCATTTCCCATTCAGGTTCCACTAGAGAGGTGGTCTGGCGCTCGTTGTCATTCGATGGTCTACTGAGAGTGTGTTCGATCCATCTCCATTTTCTTCGGCATACTTGTTGAACAAGTGCAAAACAATGCTGCGGGACTGGTCTACATCGATTTGTAATTTAAGGATAGAGAATGAAGTGGTAGATTGTGTTTATCACTTCACTTATTTAGGAAGCTGCATCAGCCCCTAATGATGAATTGATTGTTGACGAAGTCTTACCACCGATATAAATTACGTCATCTCTAGTGTAGACGTGATATCCGGTTATCAACCAGAGGCCATATGTACCAGTCCCCTCTGTTCTTCTTTATGACAGTGAGGCACAATCATTAAAAACGGAAGACTTGAAGAGGCTAGGCGTCTCTGACCACAGAATTTGCATTCTGTCTCTTTTGTTAAGAGGTATAATATAATGAGTAATATTGAAGTTAGGCGTAAAGTTAGGTGAGGAGGGGGATGTCAACAGTTAAAGTTGTGAAACTACATAGATCGGGATGACTAGGACACGTATTGAGACCATGTCGAGCCACCGTCTTCTTCGGTGGTCAATGTTAACTGATATATGATTGAGTTGATATATGAGTTAGGAGTAGTGAGACCAAAACATGGTATCAATTCTTGAAGTCTGTTGATTTGAGTCATTGGGATGCTAAGAATCAATATCTTGAGACTATTGGTGAATTGTCTTCAAAGTTGGTCTCGATGGCGCTGTTACAGTCAGTCTTTGTAAATTATTCTTCTCTCCACCTTTGTCTGTGCCTTTATGAACTATGGCAATTTAAACTATCGTACATATTTTTTTGTAATGCTCTGTTGACAATTCGATTGAGATCGATACAATTCATACAGTAGGATAAACATACTTCCTATCCTACTGTACGAGTGCGTGTATTTTGGATATTAAGTTACATGAATATTGTTGTTTATTATTGTTGTCATTATTACTACAACAACAACTGTATGGTAAGATATAATCAATAGTTCTCTTCTGTCATTTTTTTTCCTCTGTCAATCATATAACAATGTATGCTATGTATATCTGTGCCTCCCCCCCCTCTATAACAAATACATGCCCTCATGTCTGCCAACATTACATATATGCGCATATACATAACATAAAAATAGTACACAATATGAATCACATGGAAATCATTATTTTGTAATATGGCAAACAAAGCATTCCTCTTCTTCTTCTGCTGCTGCCTCTTCATCTTCATCATCACCTTCTACGCCATGGTTTAATTGTCGTCCAATTGTTCCAAGTCAACTATCTAATATCTTACGTAAAATTGAATCTACTTTAGCATATACAGCTGTTCTATTACAACAACAACACAACCAACAAAAACAACCACTACCACCACCACAAAAACGATCTAATTCATCATCAGCATCTATTCGTACATTAATGAAATTAAGTACAAAGTTGAATTCTAGTCAATTGAATTATCATCAATTAAAAAATAAACAAACAATGCTGAATTATTCACCTATTAATAATAATAATAATGATTCTCCATTAGATTTAGTCATACGACGTAAATATGAAAATGAGAATAATTCGCATAATAATAATAATCCAAATGAAAGTGTAATAAATACAAGTAGTACAAATACAAATATCTCTGTTAATGAAAATAATAATGACAGTAATGAATTAATGTCGCTGAGCTTTAATGATGATGATGATAATGATAATGAAAATCAACAGTCCAATTGTTCGATTAGAACACGTATGCTTATAACTGATGCATTCAAGTTGATGTTTGTTGTTGTGGTTATTGTTGGGTTTTTTGAGTTTTTCCCCCTCCCCTCTACCCCTGCATGTTTCTTTCGCCTTCTCAGTTCTTTTGTTTGATTATTTTTTAGAGGTTAGAAAATTTTCTTTTATTTATTTTACACTTGTTATCATTTAATCTTTTACATTACTTGTTTCACTCTTTTTTACAGCTCATCCAACTTGTTTAGATTATTGGCCAGAATTAACAGAACGAGCTCGTCAATCACCATGGCAATGTGCAGATTGTAAAACATGTACAGTCTGTAGTAATAGTAATAATGATAAGTATAATGTAAGTATTGGCGATTTTCTTTTCGAATTTTCTTTTTCGACGAAATTAAATGTTTTGTAAAACTTTATGTACTATGTTGTTGTTTTTTGCTTCATTCTTTTGTGGTGTTCCGTGTGGAATATAGGAATTTAAGGTTTTTGCAGTCTGACTGACTAACTGACTGGTTTCAACGTAGAACTTTGCACTAATGTGCAGCAGTTCTAGTTGCCACACTCCATGTAGCAGACAAAGCAAGAGAATAGAGTAGAGAGAGATAATAAATAGAAATATGAAGCAAAAGAACAGTAATATGGAAGAATAACAGAATTTTATTGGATATTTTAAATCACAAAGAGTGAATGCATCTGCGTCAGCCATTGAGGACGACGATTTTGAGCCATGTCACCAATTGTCTCCAGCCTTCATTGGTTTTTACCATTCCGAGGACCCCAACCAGTCAGTCAGGAAGTCTACACCTCCCTATGTGGCTGGCTTAAACTAACTTGTGGATTTCATTGACTGATGAGACCATGTTTTGGTTTGACCACCACTAGCTGTTTTCTAACCTGACTCATCCTATGTCAGCTAACATTGCCTGTTGTCGAGGAAGGTGATGGCTAGGTAGGCATGCGTAACACATGTCCTAACCATCTCAATCAGTGTAACTTCACAACCTCGTCGATTGATTTCACCTCCTTACCTAGCACTCGACCGATGCCTAACCTCAATGTTGCTCACCTTATTATACTACTTAACACAGGCGCCGATGATCAAAGACAACTAGCCTTTTTATGTCTCCGATTCTCAATGGTCAGGTCTCACAGCCAATAAAGAGGACGGAGCGGACTGCTGAGCAGTACACACGTTCTTTGGTTGACAGTCAGCCGGATATCACGTCTACTAAGCCAGAGACGGTGTAATTTGGCATATTCCAAACGAGCCTTCTGTATTCGTTTATGAAGTTTCAGTAGTGGTGTGTTGCGGTTGGTGTTGCTGTTTTTTCTCTCAATAGATGGTGGTGGGGTTACTAGCCTCACACCCTACTCTCCTGATTTCTCACTTTACTATCGGCTAGTAAACTATGAGGAGGTATAAGAGTGTGTTGACCAAGAATCAAATCCCACACCACATGTGTGTGGGTAGCAAGGATTCTACTAATGATTTATCGATGCACTTATATGCTGTACTGTAGAAATACTTTTTGTTAGGAGATATGGAACATTTAGTAGAGATTATGTAGACTGGTTATTGATTGTGTTATAAATCGTACTAATTATTGTGCATGCTTTATATTGTTAGATGGTTGTTGGTGGGGTAATCCGCAGGATCTCCTGAACTACTTAGATTTCGTGCTTGTTGACACTCATCAGCAGGGCGTATCTGTAATCATGAAAGGAACTCATGTCCCTTCTAAGATTCAAACCCGGATCACCCTGTGCACTGCAGTCAGAGATGTTACCACTGAGCTTTCTGGGCTCGCGACTGACCGTTGTTGGCAAGCCACTTGGTGGTAGTATGATGGGCCACATTGCAAACTTGACTGATACAATTCAGTCTACAGCAAACGAAAGTTTAGACGCATGATATCAGTTACTGCCTAGTGTCCGATCAAAGTATGCTTTATATTATTAGACATTAACATAGATCATTAATATGAATGTAGAACTTGGGCACTAGTAGAATGTAATTCCAGTTATTAATACTGCATCACTGTGTGATATGGTATTTGAAATAAACTTAGCTAATATGAAATTAACATAAATCGTGTATTTCTAATAGCTTGCTAAATAATATTTCATAGGTTTAGTTATGATACTATTATATAATATGTTATTGATGGGAAAAGTAGTCGTCAGTACAATCTCGGTAACAGTTTTTACACTTCTCATCACTGCGATCAATACTGTGTTGCTATAAGGTGTGAAATCCTTTAGCAAACATAATCATACGTATTTATTGATCAACAATCTTTGTATTGAGCAATATTAAGGATACTTTCTGCTCTTTGAACAAATGAATGCTATTAAGGTATCTCTGTGTGTGTGTGTGTGTGTGATGAAGATGCTTCAAAAGTATTGATTAGCATATTTTATATACCTAAAGGAAAGAAAGAAGGTAGAGTGAAGCAGTTTCACAATCACACATATACACACACACACATTTGTCTACGTTGGATAAAAGTGCACATGTAATTTTCATGTGACAACTTAGTATGAAATATTCCCCATGACTATTGGGGGTTGTGATGATTCACTGTGAAATGAGGTGTATTTACAATCCTTTTGTAAATTATCCTCTATAATCTACATCTCACGAGTTTCGCACATGTGAATAAGTAGATCACAGTCCATTATAATGGAACTTCTAAACTGTAAGAGTAAGAGGAGTTACAGATTAACGTTATCAGCAAACCCTTTCATGTAAAATACATTTACACACATACTTTATTAAAATAAACTTTTACTTTTTGAATATATTTCTCTTTTTCCAATTGAAACTCAACTTCTGAACACTTATAGGAAAACCTATTCTATCATGAAAGGCGGTAGTTGCCAGGTTCAAGGGCATTATTGTGTGTTATGCTATCCCACTGTGATGGATTCTCCTTTTTGTACTTACTAGGTTATTGTTAAAATTAGGTTTTTTGTTTGTTTGATGTTTTGCATATGTTTTAATTTGGCTAAATCAATTTATTTTATCTTAGGACAGTATTATGCCTCCAGCAAATATATCTATCTTTCTGTCCGTAGTAGTCTCACAATGAAGATCAACCAATAGGAGTCGAGATGAGGCAAAGTGGCCTTTAAGACAATTGAAATCTTCAGTATTGGTTTTTGTAAGGATTTAGTTTGATTGATTGGAGGATTTCATCATGAGCTGACATCAGCTAGAGAACCATTAGAAAACCTGCAAGGAGTACTGGACAGCCAACTGTTTCGTCATCCTAGTTTGGGACTCTTCATCAGTACGCACCCTCCGCCAGGGTTCGAACACACGACCCTCTGGTTACAAGGCTAGCGAGCTCGTAGACCATTAAGCCACTGGGACGCGATCCAATGGCCAGTTTATGAATTCTAACTTTTTCCAATTCATGACATATCGCGACCACTTCGCATTGTCTTCTTCGATGAGTTACTGCCTCACCTTCAACCTGCTGCAGCCTACTGGTCACGGCTTCCCACTAGAAATCTGCTTGTAATCACTTTACATTCTTATAAACGATTAGTCGTAGTAATAGTAGTTGTAAAGTAATACAGTCTTTGTCATCCTCAATGATTAGCAGAAGTTTAATTCTCAATAGGACTGTGACTGACTTTTAACATAGAACTTTTACGCAGAAATGCAAAAGTTCACATGTTGCCACACTCGATGTTGTAGCACACGAAGGTAGTGTAAAGAGAGAGAGAAAAAGGAGATTCAAAAGCACTATAATGAGCAGAGTGCGTCAGTGGCACAGCGGTAGAATGCTCGCCAACCACGCCTTAGGTGGTCCGGGGTTCGATCCCCAGCCACCGACGCACTCCTTTACCTCGCTAAGCCAGTAAGTAATAAGACTGGTAAAGAGGAAAGGTTGGGCATGAGGCTAGCAACCCCATCTTGTAAAAATAACCACTACTGCTACCGAAACTTCAAATCTTTAGCTTGAAGCCTTATGTTCTACTGGGAACGTAAAGGAATAAAATAAAATAATGCGCAGAATTGTACAGGTGGAAGAATAGTAACATGGAAAAGCATGTGGAACTCCATGTGGATCTAAAAGATTTTGAGTGACATGTTGTGTTACCAAGCCATGTCTCAGGTCATTGGTTCTTATCTCACTGAGAACATGAGTTTCTTTAAGGCCTCGTATTCATTTTAGTTTTATATTTTCACATCCTTGAAACGATAATTTGAGTGAGGCTTCTCATTCAATTAACTTCCATCGTCTAGTAGTGGTGTGGTGAGAGCTATCTGCCAGCCAAAATTGTAGACAACAATTAACGTCAATGTTTACGTCCCAAGTCGGGATGATGAGAAAAAACAAAAACAAAGCCTAACAACCTTGAGGAAATCAACAACCAATCACAGCAGAGATGACAGAATAACCTTCAGCAGGAAAACAACCAATCAGAAGACGTTGCTTCTCTGCTAACAATAACGCTAATAATAATGTATATAAAAATCTATAAATATCTGTTGATTTACTCAATAAACGATCTGTTGACTGGTCCTTGTCTTCTGTCGTTACAGTGGTAGTCTATAATATCCCAGTTAAACTGTTGTTTACGAAGAACCTCGGTAAGACAGGAATACTATCTTCATATATCAGTTGCGACTGTAAGTCTTACTTTTCTAATATACTTTTTTTTCTTTTTCTGTCTTTCCCGCTCCTCCACCCCGCTTCCCTCTTTTCTTGAATAGAATGATTTAATTATCTGTGATGCATGCGATAAAGGATTTCATATTGAATGTCATCAACCAAAATTAGAAGAACCAATAGATCGTAGTCTTCCATGGGTTTGTACAAATTGTCAAAATGAAGGTTATCGTGTAGCTATTGGTACATTACCAAATGAAATAAACAGCCAATCTAATATGAATGGTAATAATAATAATAATGATAATAAAATGAATAATTCTGAAGATTATATAAAAAGTCCATTAAAAGAAATTAATTCATCATCGCATGATTTATCAATGAAAATTGATTCAAAAGTAGAATCTAATGAATCTAAAGCAGAACAACAACAACAAGAAGTAGAAGCAGAAGAAGAAAGCCAATTGAAATCAAGCACCATTTCATCTTCTCCTCTACTGCCAATAAACACTTCCAATAGTATTTCTAATGAAAATATTCCATTAAAGAATATGAATTCAAATAATCATTCATTTATCTTATCACCAGGTGGTAATAAGTCAAAGTCGTCTACACCATCTAAACTTGACAACAATTTAAACAATAACAATAACAGCAACAACAACAGCAGCATTAACACTGATAATAATGATGTTTGTCAAGTAGAAAAAAATATTGATGAAAGTATCACAGAACAAATGAATCCTATAAATTCACCAAATAATAACAAGTAAGTTGATCACAATTTTATTACTTTATGTGTTTTCAGATTTTTACATAAATCATCTAATCAATCAATCAATCAATCTACTTTATTCTGTATTCTGCATTATATATGTACATCCTTCACATTCCCAGTGGAACATAGGGTGGCTTCAAGTTGGAGGCTTAAAGTTTCGGTAGCAGTAGTGTTTATTTTTTTACAGGATGGGGTTGCTAGCCTCATGCCCAACCTTTCCTCTTTACCAGTCTTATTACTTACTGGCTTAACGAGGTAAAGGAGTGCGTCGGTGGCCGGGGATCGAACCCAGGACCATATGCATGCATGTATGTGTACATCAACAAAGAATAAATGGTGTGCTATGTAGAGTTGGTTGGTAACACTAGCAATGAAATCCACGGGGTGTTCATTTCATCCTATTTCAAGCTTCAGTGTGTGAGAGAGTACTATCATTCACCATGGATTTTGTAGCCACAGTCTAATGATGTGAGCTCCAAATATAGGATGAAATGTGTGTGTGTGAGTGCATCGTGAATTCCACTGTTAGTCATCATCTACCAAAATAAAGTCATGCGTTAATCTTCAGATATCGTGGAAGCATTCCCGCTAGGAGTCGATGTGTCAATTGAGATCGTAATCAGTTAACGTGGAATGCAAAATCAATAAAAAAAGAATGATTTTCAAGAGTTATTTTGTGGGGATTTAATTTGTCTCAAGTCGTGTGGTCACGGATTGAATACCATTGATGAAACCAGTAGGGAGTATTGGACAACTGTTTTGTCCTAACTCCTCATCAGTATGCACCCACCGAGGTTCGAACCTAGAACCTCCCGGTTACAAATCAAGCTCGTAGACCATTCAGACACTGAGAGCCCCGATTCAATGGTCAGCACACATGAATTCCAACTTCTACCAATTTGTGATTTGAGCACGATCACCAGTCTCAATGTCATCGGCGGTGAGTATTTGTCTTCACATCCCCTGAACCTAGCGGACTCCACTGGTCACGACTTCTCACTAGAAATCTAGGCAACTTCTCCCTGTAATCAGTCACTAAAGAGCATCAGATTAATTGAATTGATTTATTCTAAAAGGAACTTTATAGAAATAAAAGAATATTAAAATAGATAAAATGAATCAGATTCTTCATAACTTTTTATTTTGGTGTGGGCCATGTTTAACTTCTGTTCAGATTCAACGTACATACTCTAGTCAACTTAGAGAGCTTTAACATGGAAGAAAGTTAGGCATACGTCGTGACAAAAAATAATGCAGTCACCTTGTTCATTGAAAGTTTATAACTTGATCAATTGTATTTCTTTCCTTATCTTTAACCTATATACTAAACACCCCATTATATATACGAGTTGTGTTTTGTGTATATATTATATTTTCTCTGTGCTATGAAGTTTCTTTAGCGATTGGACTGATTTTCGATATATATATGTCTATATGCCTTCATTTCTCACCTCACATGATCTCCTCTATGTCACCCTCTCAACCATATCCAACTCGTCGTTTACTACTCAATGGCCCGGTGCGTGATTTCACTCAGCTCTATCCTCATTGGATGTCCTAATCATCTTTTTTTTATTTTCTTCTACATATTTGTTGGGCTATAGGTTCTTGATTGGTTAGTCCCCATAGTTCGTTATGGCCTATCTTTTCTGGTCATCTAATTTTCAGTATAGAACGAAGGCATCTATTCATGAAAATGTACATTAGCCTATTGGAAATGCTTTCGGTGACTCCCTAAGTCTCTTGACCACATAGAAGTGACTTGACACAATTTTTGAAAATCCGAATCCTGTTTCTTACACTAAGTGCAAGTCTTTGTCGCTTTTCTGATCTTGTTTCTGATATCGTAATCTGTGTCACCAGCATGGGGAATGATGCTGTCTAGATAAGTGAAGGAAATGAAGGACCTCTTCCAAATTTCTCCCGTTAATAGTGATTGATGCTTGTTGTTGTTGTTGGCGGTTGCGGTAGTTGGTTATCTTCATCACCTGCGTTTTCTCTATATGTTTACTTGAAGTCCTATGTTTGCTGCCAGCCCAGCTTCTTTCAACTTGTTGATTTAAGCTTGTATGTCTTCAAATTTATGTGACACATAAATCATCGGCGAAATGCAGATCTTCTAGAGTCTTCTTACAGGTCCAACGTATTCCAGTCTTCTTGAGATTGATGAGGCAGTAGTAGGAGGCAGCCTTGTCTAACTCCTGTCTTCACTTCAGTAGAAGGCTTCTTTGCTCAGTTTCCTGTTTTGGAATTGTCATTGTGGCACTGGTGTTGAATGAGGTTGATAAAGAAAGATATGGGGTGGCCAATGTTTTAATTACGAAGTGATTATTTTATCTTTACCCTAAAATACATCTTTAGTGATGATAGCTTCAAGATGAGGTGAGCTTATAGAATTGTGTATGAATGAAATAAGAACCTGAGTGGTTCAGTAGTAGAATGCTTGCTAACCACATATATAGTCCGTGTTGGATCTCCAGACGTCTCATTCCTGAATCGTTGATAGTGATTGATTCTTGTTGTTATTGGTGCGTGGGTATCTTCATCACCTTCGTCTTCTCTATGTTCACCTCAATTCCTATCTTTGCAACCAGCCTCTTCTGACAATTTTGTTGTTGTTTTCACTTGTATATCTTCGAGTTTGTGAGAAATTAGACATGAATCATCCATTGGTCCCACATATGTCAGTCTTCTGTCTCCCCGTTGTCAGTTGCATGATCCAGTTCACCGCAATCAGGTATATATGATCAGCAATGTTAAACAGGCTTCTTTTACTCTTGTCTTCACTGAGCTTTCCGTTGTGAATCACTTGACATATAGCATCATCGTAGGTGTATACACACCTGTTTAATGAGATTGATAAATGTTTACATCACTGAACTTCAAATCAGTTCACAAGCCTAAACTATCGATCTTATATAATAGGGGGTGTGAATTGTTGCCCACTTCAGAAAGGAAATGCAAGTGAATTCTTCTTCGTATTATTCGTATAATACTAATAGTTATATAGCTAAGGTACTTGTTATGTAAGGACATAATTAATTAATTGTAGCTTAAGAATGATTAGGGTTGTTTTTCAAAAAAAATAAGTATTTATATTACATTTTCATGTTTATATATATATATATATATACTCCAGTGATAGGCATATTGTGTAGTTGACAATAATTCAGTATTATTTAAACAAAATAGACAGGGTAGAGTTGTTCTTGTTATTGTCTCTACTGTAGACATTACAAATGGCTGCATTCTACTATTTGACATGTTTTAACATGTTTTATTCAAACCATAATAATAATAATAAATGGTTAAAGAATCCAGGTTACTATAGTAGTAGTAGTATATATAGTGTAGTTATTGATTGTATTTGATCAGTAGTCAATGCTGACTGACTGACTATAGGTAGAGAGAATTTTAGTCATAGTTATAAATATAAAGGAAGCACTTGTCAAGCACAACACGAAATATGAATTTTAATCCATACACATATATGTGTATTATTCAACTTACTGGTTGATAATGATGTCTATGTCATTGTTGACATCCATAAATTCACTTTTGGTGGTGGTTGTCTACACCTGCGCTTAGTTTTGTATAAATCAATTTTTCTTTAAATAGTTTTTTTTATTCCTTCACGTTCCCAGTTTCGGTAGCAGTAGTGTTTATTTTTTACAAGATGGGGTTGCTAGCCTCATGCCCAACCTTCCCTCTTTGCCAGTTCTATTACTGGCTTAGCGAGGTAAAGGAGTGCGTCGGTGGCCGGGGATCGAACCCCGGACCTTGTGCATGGTCGGCAAGCGTCCTAACCGCTAGGCCACCAACGCACCTTTAAATAGTTACATACCCTAAAATGATTATATCAGATTGCTTAAGGCACTCACTCACTCATGAAGCATATATCTACGATCATAATTTCTGTAATTACACCAGATGTTTATATATGTATTGATTAGTGGGGCTGAGACCCCATGACTTAAACAATCGACTGTCAGTCTATTGATCATGAGTGATAATCACACTGTACCTACGAATGTTTGAACAACTATGTGGTATCGTCACCCAACATACTATTTGGTATGACTCATTGCCAATTGCACCAATACTGATCTTACTTATCGAGCATATGGTGATCGTATTTTATAAAATAACTTATTATTTCCTTTAATTCCTAGAGGAACATACGGCTTCAGCTGCACGTCTCCATTACGTTTGGTTCTCTGCTACAGTTTTCACCTGGCTCTAGGCCTGCCCACATGCTTTCATCTCCTCTTCACATGACCTCCTCCAAATCACCTTTGCACTGACGACCAACTCGCCGCTTCCCTTTCGGGTTCCACTCGAGCAATGGTTTGTCTAGTGATGTCACTTGATGGTTTCCTTAGAGTATGTATGGCCAATTCATCTCCATTTCTTCCTGCTTATTTGTTTCACAATCAGTTCCTGGTTGGTTTGCTCCCAGAGATCCCTGTCGCTGATGTTTTCTGGCCACCTGATCTTGAGTGGTATTGAGCGAAAGCAGCTGTTGATGAAGGTGTGTAGTTTGTTTGAGATGCTCTTTATGACGCACTGGCCAAGTCTGATCCGTATAGTAGCACTGACTTCACATTGGAGTTGGAAATCCGAATCTTATTTTTGATGCTGAGTGCTGTTGACCTCCACACAGACTTGAGAGTAATGAAAGCTTGTCTTGCTTTCCCGATCCTCGCTGCTTTTATATCCTCGTCAGTTCCGTTCTCCTGTAGTTGAAACGATGCTTCCCAGGTAGGTGGGTAGGTAAAGGAGGTTGTTTCTTTCAGGTTCCTTCCATTTATGCTGATTGTTGTCTGTTGTTGCTGTTGGTGGTGTTGGCCAGGAATCTTCATCACCTCTGTTTTATCTATGTTCACCTGAAGTCCTATCTTTGATGCTTCTTCAGCCAACTTGTTGCTTTTCACTTGCATATCTTCCAGTTTGTGGGAAATCAGTTGAAATTTCATATATATATATATATTTGTGTGGAGGGTTGGTGATACTATTTAGTTATTCAAGATGTGGTGGGTGGAGCAGTATTCTTGACACTTCAGTGGAAGTGTATGTTGGACGGTTGTTTACGCCGTGGAAATGGACTTCTTCTTGGAATACTTGAAACAGAAAATCATTACGGTTACTTGACCACAGAGCCCAGGGGCAACTAATTCAGGCTGATCATCACACGGCCCTGTTTCAGTTAGGTTTTAGAGTTATATCCGTACTAAGATGTTAACGCCTGCCACCGGAGTACCCCAAGATAAGGAGGGATGTACAGTCTTCAGTGTCGACGTTTTTGACCCCTACTCCACCCTACCCCTTGAAGAGGCAACAAATCTGGCTTATTAGTCGTTTGAGGGGGGAACACCTTGTTGCCACCAGTACGACTTCGCCTCAACGTAGTGTAAAATGGCTTACACTGATTTTAGTCTAACTGCTGTTCAAATGACTTTCTGGCATGATAAGACCTACAGGAACTTCAGTTCCGGCCAGTGTAGATCATTGGATCATTGCCATATGTAAGGCTGACTAACCACCAGTAGATACAAATTGATTGTGCTTAAGTCATTGAACATCATCTCCACTTGGATTTCATAAACGCAGTAGTGTGGATTCATTGTAAGCTTTTTTTTCGGTGAAGTGTGAAGTATGTAATCCAGTTCAGATTTTAACTTTTGACTTTCTGAGTCCATCTACCAACATAATGACATCATCCCTTCTAAATAGTTCATAGATATGCAGTTTAATTAAGTCTGTAATATGTAGTGTAATTGATTTTCTCTCATAATATGCTTGTTTCACCTTCCAAGTAAATTCTACATAACTTCGAGCAAGACAAACCGCTATCATTGTTGAGATTTCATTGTACTTTTTAAAACATTTTGACGAGTATGCCTTTTTCTCCATCCATTTCCAGGGAAATTTATTACTGCACTTATTTTTGTTTTATTTTGAAATGTCATTCCACCTACTTCAGTTTGATTGAAGGTGGATAGTGACATGACTGGAAATCGTCTTCGATGACACATACACCTGTATTTACTCCTTGTAATATTTCAGATGCTTAAAATCTTCACTGATTTTCAACGGACTATTCTCTCTCGTGTGTGTATTTTCGTCCATTGTAGTTTTGTAACATTTCTGTTCTCTACTATGTTGTGCATTCTTTTATGAAATCTGGCAACTTGAAGTACTACACTTTTGTACAAAGCTTATACCTTGATGACAAGTCAACCAGTTTAGGCACAACTCACACACATCGTACGGTATGTAGTCTGTAAATAACTACAACTTGTCCCAATCACTTATTGAAAAATCTCAAAAAAAGTTGTAATCCTTAAGTTGATCCCAATTGTTTTCAGTTGAAACCCACTTGATGTTATATCAGTGAATGATACTGAAATGTGCGTCGATGATTCTGCGATAGGAATAGTTGCCAACCACGTAGTTTGGTCCATCAGTCCGATTCCCAGCCGATGCGCACTCCCTAATCCCACTTATCCCCGGTAAGTAAACCCGTTAAAGTGGGAAGGTTGGATGTATGAGGCTAGCGACGCCACCACGCATAAAACAATATCGTGGCTACTGAAGCTTCAAAGTTTAGGCCTGAAGCCTCCTATATACCATCCAAATATCAAGGAAGGAGAAAAATAATGAAATATTATCATTGATTTTTTTAAAATGTTTATAACAATGTGCTTTTTTTAAAGTATTGAATTTCAACAATTATCAGTCCGTGATCAACTCGTAAAACATAACTAATCCTTACAAACTAAACTATAGAAAATTATCACTTCATAGGAAATCATTTCAATGATAGCAATTAAGGCTAATTTTATTTGGTCTGGTTGTGTTCTCTGAGCTGGATGGGGGTGGGTTGAGCTGCGAAGCTTTCATTGTCTTTCTAGACCACATCTTTTACACACAATTCAGTATGAAGCGAGCTTTTAGAACTCTCCACTATCTCTTCTGGTAACCTTGAACGTGATTGGTTATTTTTTCTGAGTTTTCTTCACCCTTTCCAGAAACAGCCAATCACGATCGAGGTTACCGAAAGAGACGATGAAAAATTCTAAAGGTCACTTGATAATGCAGTTAGAAAGATAGTGAAAGCTTTGCAGCATAAATGCTCCATTTCAGGGAACACACTACCATGCAAATATCATCATCCACCTGATCGAGCGCTAAGCCACAAGTATTCTCCATCATTTCTAATATGATGATCTATAAGAATATTCCTCAGTGTTCATGTATTTACTTTTTTTTCTGTCTCTTTTATTACAGATCTGGTAAATCCTTAAGTCAGGAAATCACAGAAAATGGTAGGAAAACACCAACTTCAACGCTGAATTCCAGCTTTGATTATCAATGTAAAGCACATACCGAAAATAAGGATAACAATACTAATCATATTATTAATAATAACAATTGTTGTAATAGTAATAATAATAATAATAATAATAATAATAATAATAATAATAATAATAATGAATTGAAAAATCAACTGGAAATGAAGAATGACTTGACTACTCCTGACAATAATCATAATAATAATAATAGTAATCATGAATCGTCATTATCATCATCATCTTCATTATCAAGTCGTCCAATAGATGTAAATGCATGGACAGTGGAACATGTTCAACAATGGTTATTAGACGAGGGCTTTCCACGTGAAGCTGAAGCATTCTATCAACAAGAAATTGATGGTACTTGTCTACTACTTATGAAACGTATGGATGTACTCACTGAACTTGGTATTAAATTAGGTCCAGCTGTTAAAATTTATGAACGGATAAAACGTTTTCAATCACAATGTGGTTCACCATCATGAGCGAGATGAAAAAGGTGGGGGAGGGATGGATGGATGGGAAGATATCGCAGCAGCAACATTTCATTGTATGTGTTTGTGTACAGATATTAAACTGCCTATTATATATAAATATTTACTAACGCCTATTTGCCAAAAAATAATCATAATAAAAAGACAACAAATAAACAAGCGGATGACAGTATAATTATCCTTTTTTGCAGTTTTTTTCTATATAACAAAAGCTGTTATTATCATTAATACTATTACTATTATAATTATTATTACTCTTGTTATTATTACTGTTTCAATTTGATTAAAATGTTTAGGTTTATTTACTTTTAATTAAGCATTTGTACAAGTTGTTTTATTTTGAAGAAAAAGAAGAAAACAAAAATTAGTACTTTATTAAACTGGCTTATGATTGTTGGTTTTGCTTTGTATCTGTCTGCTTTACTGCTCAAAATAATCAGAGTTCGATCAGCATTAAATGATATAGGTGTTAGAGAAGTATTGTGAAAGCCTTTGGAGGAGAATTTGACAACTGTTTCTTCTTTCTTCGAGACTCTTCAGCAGCAGTGCTCACTCACTCCACACAGCCCCTTCAGATTAAAATAATGAGCGCATAGACCATTCAATTGGTGTGTGTGACGGAATACAGAGTGGCCTATGCATTCTAATTTCTGTCAGTTTTTGAGACATAGTTCAACGACAAAAGACAAGGGCCAGGCAACACACCGTTTATTGAGAAAATCAACAGATGTTTATAGATTCTTATGTACATTATTATTAGGGTTATTGTTAGCAGAGAAGCAACGTCTTTTGATTGGTTGTTTTCCTTCTGAAGGTTATTCTGTACTGCTTGTGACTGTTTCTTAGACAGTCCGGTGATATATATCTGCACATCGTATCCGCCCACGTCTACGGTCGTTTCTCCCTATCAGATCATTCGTTTTTAGATGATATGGTGTTGTTTTGATCTTGATACCCAGCTGTTGCTGGGACCCTGATCTGTCAGTATCGTCTTTCGTACACCCGTGGTCTGCAATAATGTGTCGAACTACTGCGTCAGTCACAGTTCTCGCGCGTTGATCAGGGATCGTGACGGCGTCTACCCATCGTGTAGCGTGTTCCATCATCACCAAGGTGTACTGATTACCATTGGATGTTTGCGGAAACGTACCCATCACATCACCTAATGCCGTCATTAGAACTGACTGCAGAGGTGGTCGTATGCACCGATCTCCTTTCATCAACTGGCACTGCGGACATCCAAGTACATATTTTGCCACATCTTCCTCTCATACCTGGACAATAGATGCTCTATCTCAAGAGGTCGTTTGTTCTGGCTACTCCTGTATGTGCTAGTTAGTGACATTCTTGTATCATCTGATGGCGTAGAGACTAAGGAATTACGGCTAACCAACTTCCATCATTCTCTCGCCAAGTCAGAGTTCCATGGGCGTACACTCCTGATAGATTTTTCTGTCTGAGTAGCGTGGTCAGATCCTTACTCGCTGTAGGTTGATTCACTTCTATTTCGTTAGTGATCAGCTGTATCACCGTATTTAGGGTGGGGTATGAATTCTGACTGCGGGCAATTCTTAATGGGCCTTGTTCCAATGCATGCACTCCGTAAGCCATCTTCGGTAACTCAGCTTCGTCTTCCGGCCTAGATAAAAAGTCTACCAAAACATTTTCTTTGCCAGGGACGTGTGAGATTGTGAAGTCATACTCCTGCAGGCACAACATCCACCGCGACTACTTCCCACGTGGATCTCTCGCTATGCTCAGAAACTGTAGTGGCTTGTGATGAGTCCCGATGTAGAACCGTTAACCGAGTAAATGTAGTCTCTGTTTGTCTACCGCCCATACTATAGCTAAACATTCTTTTTCTATCGCTGAATAGTTTTGTTATGGGTGGGGCACATTCGACAGTTGCTTCACCCTCTCTAAATATTGCGCTTATGCCGTAGTCACTCGTATCTGTGCTCCCTGTGAATTTTTTCCAAGTACAGGCAGTTTTAGCATCATTTGCTGGTGGTCCAAAAGCCGTTTAATACTATCGAATATTTTCTGCAAATCTTCTGACCAAACAAACTTCGACTCACCCAATAGCCCGTACAGAGGGGCTGCTATCTCAAAAACCGACTATAAAACGCTGCTCTCTCCGGGAACTGCCTTAGCTTCCTCTTGGAATTCGGGGCCATAATAGTCTTTATCTACAAAATTTTCTCCAGAAGCGGTTTTATCTCACCGTTGCCTACTCTATGTCCCAACAGCGTAACACAGCGTTTGGCTATCTGAGGTTTGGTTTTGTTAATGCGCAGTCCAAACTCTTCAATGCGTATTAACACGGCTTCGACATGGTTCACATGGTCACTTTCATTTTGACTGTAGATGACGAGATCATCACCGTAAACTTCTACATTCTTCAAGTTTTTAAGTAGCAATGTCATCAGTCGTCTGATTGTAAACGGTGCACCTGCTAGTCCAAACGGCATGCGTTTACACCGATACTGTTTGTGACCCACGATGAACGCCATCTTATCTCTGTCACTCTGTTTTATCAGTATCTGCCAATATCCTGAACGGAGATCGAGCACTGTAAACAACTTCGCTCTTTTTAGACGATCCAAGGTCCCTACTACAGTTGGCATGGTACAAGATCTCAGGTCTGTCAATTAAGAATCTGCACTTCCTGTTTTCTTTTTTCACTAAAAGAACTGGAAAGTTATACGGACTGTTAGCTTCTTCAAAAATATCATCCTGTAAAATCTCCTTCACTTTTCGCCCGTCTTTGCCTTCTAAATGACATGGGACTCTTCGTATTGTGAATGCTGCCATTTTGCGACTGCTCATGCCCTACCTTATCACAATAACCGTAGGGATCTCCATCTCCAGTGAACAGATGATCGTATTCTTTAACCAACACTGTCATATTCTATATTTTGGACGCCTCAACCCCTGCTGTCTCGCTTATCTCATACATGCTGGTAGGTCCGTATTTCGTAATCACTTCCCTCTCCTTCGTGTTGATTACCGCACCGACCTCTTAGAGAAAATCAGACCCAAGTATTGTTCGTCGTAACTTGGGCACAACAATGAACGGGAACGTTACTTCGCGATGGCCAATAGAAACGCCACAGTTTGACATGCCGGTGGCGATGTTTAACACATGTCCACCTACCATCTGAACTGTCAATAAACACGGTCTGACGCTTTGACATAGATTCTTATCTATTAGTGGAACTGCCACCCTGTATCTATTAAACGTACTACTTCTTGTTCATTCAGTCGTCCTAGTGGCTGAATGGTCTACGAGTTTTCCTTGTAACCAGAAGGTCCTGGGTTCGAACCCCGAGGGTGGGGGGTGGGTACTGCCGATGAGTACCACCAAACTAGTACGACGAAACAGCTGTCCAAGTACTCCATGCTAGTTTTCCTGTGGTTCTCTAACTGATATCAGTCAATCCGTGACCAAACTTGGAGCAATTTATTACTCCTAATCATACCACAGTGTATTTACATGACTACATAAATTGTCTGGTACCTCTACCTTTATGTTGGTTTTTGTTCTTAAAAATACAATTTACCTTATCTAAGGTTGGTGTTACACCATCTCTATTGTCTGTCTGTATACAAATGATTGTATCTTATGTAATTTTCTACTGAGTCATCCTATTCTTCTTAGCTATGCTTATTTTACAAATTTTTTAGTTATGTAATAACTTGTTGCTAACGCCTAAGAATTAACTTATCTTGAATTCCGTAATTAAGTTTCCCCCCTCCTTTAAAACCTAGGTATCTTGTTACTAACATCTATTAGTTAATTGGTTGGAGGATTTCATCATGAGCTGACATCGGTTAGAGAACCTCTGGAAAACCTGACGGTACTGGACAGCTGTTTCGTCCTAGTCTGGGACTCCTCATCAGTACGCGCCCGCTGTAAAAGTTCAAACCCACGACCTTCTGGCTACAAGGCGGGCGAGCTTGTAGACCATTGAACCACTGGGACCCTATCCAATGGCCCAAGAATTCCAACTCCTGCCAATTTGACGGCATACCTTGCTGATGAAGAGTCCCAAACTAGGCTGACGAAACAGCTGTCCAGTACTCCTTGTAGATTTTCCAATAGTTTTCTAACCGATGCCAGTTAATGATGAAATCTTCTAACCAATCAAGCAAAAATCCCTACAAACCAATACTTGAAAACTGATCTGATGCTCACTAGCTCAGGCAGTTACCTTGAGTTCTAATGGGAAGCCGTGACCAATAGAGTACAGCAGGTTGAAGGTGAGGACATTTACTCATCGAAGACACTGCTAAGTGGTCACGCTATGTCGTGAATTGTCAGAAGTCAGAATTCATTGGCCATTGGATCGAGTCCCAGTGGCTTAATGGTCTACGAGCTTACTGGCCTTGTAACCAGAAGGTGCTGGTTTCAAACCCTACTAGTGGGTGCGTACTGCTTAAGACTCCGAAACCAGGGTGACGAAACAGTTAGCTGTCTAGTACTCCCCATAGGTTTTCCAATGGTTCTCTAATCGATGTCAGCTCATGATGAAATCCTGTAACCATTCGATTAGTTAATTGTTTTGGTGACGTTTAACCTCTTAATTTAACACCCTATACCTAAAACTTGCGTCAGTGGCACAGCGGTTAGGACGCTCGCCGATAGACTCCTTTACTTCGCTAAGCCAGGCATAAAGCTGGTAAAGAGGAAATGTTGAGCATGAGGTTAACAACCACATCCTGTAAAAATAAACACTACTACAGAAACTTCAAGCTTCTAGCTTGAAGGACTATGTTCCAATGGGAATGTGAAGGAATAAAAAAAATTATACCTAAAACTGATTAACTAAAATAACAACTTGATTGGTAAAAAAAAATGTTGATGTAAAAAACTATATATTAGTGTAGAGCCACCCGAGGATGAGGAACTAATTGAAAATGCGTAAATGGGAATTTGGAAATTACTAAAATCCATTATTTTTCAAGAGTTGTTTTCTTGGGATAGGATTTGTTTTTCAAAAT